GAGAGATGCAAAGTAGCGCAGCCGCCCTCGTGCCCTTCGCCCGCTCGCATCTTCCATCTTCAATACTAGAGCCCGTTCCATTTGTACAGCCAGTCGCCGGGCGTTCCTTTCGGTGCTGCGGACGTCCTGTTGAAGGCCCATTTCGGGTCTTCAGTCAAAAACATTTTTCCGAGCCTTGGTCGCGTCAGCGCCTCCGATTTCGGTATCCCGTTTCTTACACGTATCGCACCAGAGACAACAGTGTGTGTGCGCGTGTGTGCGCGTATATATATATATATATATATATATATATATATATATATATATATATACAGACGTGCGCATGTGCGTTTGCGTACGAGGAGTGTAGACAGCCGAGAGCCCTCCCCGCTAAATCTTCCACGGTGTCCGCGGGGTGCTCCCGGAATAAAGCCACGGAGATGACGTTGCCCGATGTTCGAGATGCTCTCCCTTCCTCCCCGCCGTCTTTCTTCTCCGTGTTTCGGTTGCTTCGTCGTGTTTTCTTCTTTCCCCGTCTCCCTCGCTCGCCTCCGGGCGTAGACGGGCTGCCGGTGCAAACGACGTCGTAAGTCCCGACACGCTTATTGCGGGGATCCCTGGGACGACCACCGGGAACGCCGCACTTTATCTTCCTCTTCGTTTGGAGACCCCGCATGGACGCCCTCCTCTTTGGCCGTCTTCTGACCATCCTGCTCTCACGCCTCTATATTTCGCGTTTTTTTTTTTCTCGTAGTTTACCGTATTAAATACTACGAATTTGTGGAGTGGCGCGCGATGGTATACTGCAGGGGTCTCAAACACGCGGCCCGCGAGTCGCTGGGACGTGGCCCGCGGGCAACGGGCTGCGAGCCCTCGTTCCCGTGTATTGAGCACAAGAAAAGGCATGCGCAATGGACCTTTTTCGAGTAAGGAGCGCCGCCTGGGAAGTTGTTTGCGAACTATAATAGAAGAGCAGCCAAACATGCTTCCGTCCGTCAAAACACGTTGGCATCGTGCCGTTGTATCGGTTTTCAGTGCTTTTTATATCCCATACCCTGCCCTGGGCTATAGTGTGCTTCGTTATGGAATAACTGTGTACGGCCACTGTGCCCTTCGATGGAAAATAAGAATCAATTCAATTTTGCGTTCTTTGTTAAAAGTTATTTCTTATGATGTAAGACTTGATAAAGATACTGACGTATTTAGAGCATTATGCCCACTGAACGCAAAGATGGCTACAAGACGGCTAAAAGACGTCTTGGCAAGATGTACAATACGTCTTGTAGACATCCTGGCAAGACGTTATATAGCCCAAGACGTCTTGAAACATCTTGTAGCCGTCTTCTAGTCGGGCTAACGCCCCGTCTTTCTTGGGCTACAAGACGTCTTGCAAGATGTCTTGAAGAACTCTTGAAGACGACTACAGGACCTCTAGATAGGTCTATTTAACATCTTAAAAATGGATATAAGATGTCTTTTAGCCATCTTTTTCTTAGCTCATGCACCATTATTTTGGCTTACAAAACAAAATGTCTTAAAATTTGTCTTGGCAAGGTCTACGAGACGTTTTGTAGACATCCTGGCAAGACGTTATATAGCCCAAGACGTCTTGAAAAGTCTTCTAGCCGTCTTCTAGTCGGGATAATGCCCAGTCTTTCTTGGGCTACAAGACGTCTTGCAAGATGTCTTGAAGAACTCTTGAAGACGACTACAGCACCTCTAGATAGGTTTATTTAACATCTTAAAAAGGCATATAAGATGTCTTTTAGCCATCCTTTTCCCAGCTCATGCACCATCATTCTGGCCTACACAAAAAAATGTCTTAAAATTTGTCTTGGCAAGGCCTACAAGACGTTTTGTGGACATCCTTGCAAGATATTAATAGCCCGGACGTCTTGAAACGTCCTGTAGCCGTCTTCTAGCCGGCATAACGCCCAGTCCTTGGGCTGCAAGATGTCTTGCAAGATCTCCCATAGACGACTTGAAAACTATTACAGGACACCCAGTTACGGCCTGGATATTTTAATCCCAAAAGCCATAAGGCTTTGAATAGCTAAACTCCTTATATAGTGGTAAGGACGAGTACTGAAGCCGATTCGTACTGCAGCGACTAACTATGTGAGGGGGCTAACGTCAAGATACAACCATGACTTACCATGGCAATCAAGAATTGCAACACTAATTAGTTGCCTTAGCGGCTTTCAGTCTCTTGAGTCAAGTCTTTGCAATATAGTCAAGCGCTGTTGCAAAAATAGGCCTTTGAACCAAGCTGGTGTGAATAAAATGACATGGTTAACATAGCAAAGCATAGCTATTGCATGTCTGTAAGTACACCACATATTGAACGCCTGTCAATCGCAAGCTCTCAAGTGACACAGCCATAGCTGCGCACCAGTAAGCAAATGATTTTTCTCCTGTTCAAGAACTGTAAAAAGATGTTTATTAGTAAAATAGGTACGTAAATATAATTGAAGCTTTCAATGCACTGCTTATTAGTTTTAAAACAATAAGAAATGAAATAATGGCTTGCAATCCAGATGACTTGAGGAAGTTTCCGGCTGACTCATGGAAGTTTCTTAACTCTCAGACTCGTGGAAGCTTCCCGCAATGAAACGAAAAGTAAATTTTTATGAGTTTAATATTCCCTATTGTTCCCAGTTTTATAAAGGTATCAAGTGTCTAAGCATGCATTATATAGTGTACCCATAATGTGCCCATTGTAAATACCCCATGTTTTGCAGCCTATCAGGAATTTTCAAGATTTTTCGGATATAAAGCTACTTTCAGAAACAAATTTTGTATGACACTGCTAGAAGTTTCCTGCGAAATTTCAAAGCAGCCCAAAAATGACTGAAGTTTGCTATAGAAGAGAACTCCAGAAAACCACTTTTTAAGATTTGAGAATGATTCTGCTAGCCAAAGTACACCACGCCAAAGTACACCACAAGACCAACATGAACTACTTTGTTTTTTGCAAAACAAGGTAAAAAAACCAGGAGCAATCTACAAAGCAATTATTTGCAATAGTATTCCAACAAAGTGACTCTATGATGTCTAAATGCAAATGCCGACCAATTTTCCGGACTCGAAGGCAACCCGAAAAAGCAGTCTAAAAAGCTATTTTAAAGGCCGACGACCAGACTCGAGATTCTGCAAGGCAGAAGACCCTCCTCTCCACGCCTTCAGGCGAGGGAAGCGAAGGATGGAAAGAAGGGACCAAGAGGGGCGGGCGTGGGTGGAAATGGTAGGAGGGAGAGGAGGAAGCGGGCGAAAAGTGGAAAGCGCGAACTGGTCGTCGGTCTTTAACTTAAATGAAAAAATTCCATGCAACCTCTGCATGGTATTGCCCACTTTCCACTTGTTCGATGCCAATATTAAGTTCTCATGCAACTTCCACTTCATACTGGTCGCTTTCCACATGTTTGGATGATCGCAGTGCCAAGGGTTGCTGAGGCCATTGCTGCCGCATACAGTAAAGATAAAGCTGGTATGATTTGGAGGCTACATTCAGCTGACCAAGCTCGCTTTACTGTTGCGCCTATCTGCCAAATATACTCGCTCGAAGAACACGGGAAGAATGGCGGACAGTCGTTCTTCTCTTGGTCGCAGTAGGGAAATGCAAACACGAGAAGATACAGAAGTATGGCCCCCATATGGCGGCTATGTTGGATATAGTGGAACTGGAATATCTGACCGTGACCTAATCCAGCTTTTTCATGCACAAGACGGAGATTCGAGGCTACGAGACCAAACAACCAAAATGCTTGCAATGAAGCATACGGCGACTGTTTGTAAGTATAAATGGAAAAAAAAACTTCCGAAAATTTGAGCAACGAGGTGTACAGTATCCGAAATTTCAGTCAGTGCTATACATTCAGTTTCATAGTCATAATTATACAAGGCTTGTATTATTAAGTTACTATTAAGTTACTTTTAAGTATCTTTTCAATTTGCCACTTCTCAGTCAGCAGGAAAAGGAAAAATGTTTAGATGAAATAATGCTTAAAGGGGCCCTGCAATCATATTTAAGTGTCTACCTTTTATGCGGTTTCCACGTCTCTTAGGGTTCGGGCAAGTCAGCGGGCACGGAGAGAGTAACTAAATATCAGTGCGTCATATTTTAACCGGACGACACGGAAACCTCCTCCACCGACGAGAGCGACCTGCGGTACCGAAAGCGCGCAAAATGTGACGTTTCTGGTCCTGGGCTTACTACTGGTCAGAGCCGCTAAAAACTTCTTTTTGATCGAAATACAAAATATAAGTGGCGCGAACCGTTTCAATTATTTATAAAAGTAGTTTTTGTTCACTATAATAGATGAAAAAAAGAAAGAAATGCAGTTTATAAAGTACGGAAACAAGAAATGACCCGTCGACATACCCGCCGCCAAGCGGTGGAAAAGACGGCGCATACTAGAAAGGAGTAGTGGGATAAGGCGCCGACACGGAAAAATCCCGGATGTACGCGGTGGCGCTGCAGTCGTATGGACAAGAGGACCCGACCGGCTCCGAGCGTTCCGAAGGCCTTCGGCGAGTGGGTTTGTCTTGCGGTTTGGCCGTTTCGCGGTATGGCAGCGCGAAGTGGGTCCCATTCTGAACTGATCTTTATCCCGTGTTCGCTGTCGTTTGTGGCCAATGAAGTGTCATGCCGATTTAGTGTTTAATCGCGCAGCAAATGCAATGAAAGCCGCTTTGGCTGCCCGCTGCATACAGCCTATCCAGAACATGCTTTAGTGGCGCCCTCTCGCGCCGTCGACACGGAGTGCGGCGGCCGTGAGCGCTCGATGAGCTCACTATCCCTCCTCTAGTTCACGGCCACTCAAGCCAGGACCTACGACGTCATGAAGGAGGTTATTTTTTGCTTGTTTTTGTAATTCTAAATTGCCTATAACTTTTAAAATAAAGCGAATTAGCGAAAAGAAAAGGTTCACTAAGTTACTACGTTCAGTGCGCTCAAGTTCCGTGCAAATTAAAAACCAGTAAAAAGCCCTTGCAGGGCCCCTTTAAGTACCATACCTTTTTGTGGCGCTATTTACGCGTGCTCGGCAGTTCTTCAGCCAACCCTTGGCTCCTGCTTCAATTTCTTCAAGCGTTGCACCACTCAGGCCTTTTATCAGTCTGACTGCTTCTGTAAATGGGGAAAATATGAAAATCATAACCAAGTGCGTTATCCTGGTGCAATGATCACGGGAGATATGAATGCCTACCACCACTACAAATAGACATGGGTGAATATATGAGTGTTCTGACCAGATTAAATGATATGTCACCCTTTTGTTAATGACTACCGACATAGGCTGTGCAGATTAATTTTGCCCGGCCTGCCCCATGCACACTGCATGACACTGCTAGTGCGAACACGAAATTAGCACTTTTTCATTGCATTTTGCTCATACAGAATATCGATGCGCCCCAAATAGTACTTTAAGCTGGAGCTCAAAATTAGCACTTTCCCCCACACTAGCAATTCTGATGGCAGGTATCAGTTTCATAATTGAAACAAAGAAAAAGACAGCCCATTGCTTGTCCGTGCTAACTGTGACGTGCAGTGCACAACATCAGAATTTGCTTGAATGTGCCTACCGAATTACTTGTTTCAAATTCCCTGACCGGTGTTTCTCTCGAAGGAGTGCTTCTACGACCGAAGAACTCTGACCTGCTATTGGTCCCATGCTCGCCATAGTTGCTAAATTATGGAGCCCGAGTGGCTCTTCCCTTTTAATGGATGGTTGCTTAATCTGCCTAGTGACATTTCTGGCAACATTACTCAGTGCAGACACGCTGCTGCACGACAGTTGGGTTTCGTTGCACACCGCCATACCACTTCCATGTGTCATTTTCCCTGATTTAGCTCTTTACTAAAATTTTTTTCACTTTTCCATATGGTTCAAAATTCCCTACAATCCCAGGTTTTCCAGATTAGTTGACACCCTGTATAATACATGAAGACGATTTACAATTTAATACAATTTATTGAAATTTCTTGTCATGTTGCTGTTGGCATGTTTTACGGTGAGGGTTGTTTTAATTATTTGGAGCGGCACATTTCCAGAAATAATAATAATACTTTATTTTGTGCTAGCGTCCAAAAACAGCTGCAAAGGCCTTGTTATTGGTACACTATAAACAAAAAATTAGCTTCACACTAAGAAACAAACGAACAGAAAACACAGCAACATGAACAAAAGTAATCGTCAACTTTAAAACGCAGCTAAGTGAGCAAACAAAATACAGAAACATCAGAGGTCTGTAGAATGAGTATATGGCATGCTAAAAGCGAAACAAAGCCCAGCACTAAAAGACAAACAAAATATATATAAAGGCTACAAAACAAAGCCCAGCACTAAAAAACAAACAAAGTATATATAGAGGTTACAATCTTTTTAGCATTGATAAGAAATTATGTATGTGCATATATGTTCAGATCCGCATCATGAAGTTTATTATATAAGTGCGTAATTCTAGACATGGGTGAGGAATCATATGGGTATTAAGGTAAAATGGTAAAATCACTCTACTACTTCGCGTCGGTACGTGAAAGTTCACAGATGATAAGAGTGATTGCTATCAGTCCGGCCAGAAGTTACTTTATGTAAAAACGCACATCACAAATGGTACGTTTTAAGCTGAAATAGTTCATAAGTGATTCATAATTATATTAACAATGTTGAAAGTATCTCTCATAAACTGTTCGCACCAGGCGCTTCAGAACTCGCTTAATTTCGTTGCTCTGACTAGAAGACATTCAAGTCATGAACGAACCAAGGAACAAAATAAATGGATCAAACATGTAAAGCTAAAAAATTATGCGTCATTCGTGAAATTAGCCCCAGTGTACGTAGGGAAGTACCCACTATCGAAGTAACTTGTTCTTTAAAAGTAAGCCGGCTATCAACAACAACGCCAAGGTAACGCACAGTAGAAACACTCTGTATGACCGTTACACACGGTAGTGTGTATTGAAAACCAACCTGATTGCGCTTTGTGGACAATGAAATAATTTTCGTCTTTTGTGGATTGAAAAACAAATTATTAGATGAGCACTACCTTGACACGCTATTTATATCTTGCTGCAATAATGAACAGTCCCCCAATGTCACGAACTGATGAATATAGCTTGATGTCATCAGAAAACAATAAAATCTTAGCATATTTAACGGAGAAAACAATATCATTTATGAGAACTAAAAAAAGGAGCGGCCCCAGGTTTGAGCCCTGTGGCCCTTTTGAAGTTGAGGAAAATTGATGGGATAATGTATTCGAAATCCGAACAGAATTCTTGCGTGAAGAAAGCTTTGACTTAAACCAGGCAAGATATTGTGGGCATAGGCCATACAAGCAAAGCTTTTTGACAATAATAGAACATGATTTACAGTGTCGAAAACCTTGGACATATCGAAGTAGATAGTATCCACTTGCCCCTGGTTAAAAGCACAAGGGACGAGTAATTAAAGAATTTCAGAGGTTAGTTTTGACTGATCTCCCCTGAAGAAATCCATGCTGGTCATGATTTATCTTCTGGCAGAAATAAAAAGCCGCCCATGAACAATGATTTCAAAAACCTTCGAGAAAGAGCACAAAAGGGAACCGGGTCGGTAGTTATTGACAAGGCAAGCGTCACCTGCTTTAAATATTGGCACTATAATTACTTCTTTCCATTGCCGCGGAAAAATACCAGCCTTAAAAGATAAGTTAAAAATATGCTGTAAGATAGGAGCCAGAATGTCTCCGCAATCTTTGACTATAAAACACGGGATAGGGTTAATCCAGTCCCAATGAAGAAAAGTACTTTCTCGACAGAAATTCACGGTACAATAAACCAACAATTAGGCATGCTCGATGGCCGAGTTACAGCAACACTTCCTGTTGTGAGTGGTGGCTTGCACAGCCTGATGATGTACTGGGCACTCAGCACAGCTGAGCATATGCACCGTCAGGCTTTGTTGCATACATCCATGCCACTTCCACTGGTCGCTTCATCAGACTGACTCTCTGACATCTTCCCTGACCTTTCCAGGTACTTAAAATTCCCTGTTTTCCTGGTTGGTAGACACAGTTGTGTTTTCCACTGTTTTGCACCTCCTCTTTTCACCTCGCCACAATGGCAAGGTGCAAGGAGAAAGTGCAAAAGAGTGGAAAGCACAAACTGTATGTTGCAAGGTGTCTATCAACCAGGACAGCCCGGAATAAAAAGGGCTTGCCACACAGTTCAGGAAAGGACACTCAGAGGGTCAGTTTAGGAGAGGAGGACAATTGGAGCTTTATCTTTGCTGCAGAAAACCAATATCCATAATAATACCATTAGCGTAATATAGAAAAGAAACTTTAAACTCACTCTGAAGCACACTGAACAACTCCATTGTAGCAAACACACGCTTCCCCTTCTGTCCATAGAGGCTATATTTCTGCCCCTGTGAGTCTTCAAACAACTTTGCAAGGATGCGAGCAGTGGCAGTACGAGGGGTGTTGCCCCCAATACCAGCAAGCTGCCGGGCCTGCAAAAGAACAATGTGGGTTAAGTGTAGGCTTTTGTGTTTTCAGATAAATCCGATAAAGTGTGATAAACATCCGCCGGCACAAAATTTGCCGATTCGGATTCACCTAAAAAACAAATTACGGAACAGCAAGTTGTACAAAACCATCCTGTCTTGAAACGTTCGCTCTCCGGAAACGTTTTTTATGTATCTCTTCTTTTTCAGTTTCAACTTTTGCTCCTAAGCATCACACAAGGCCTAACTGGTGATAATAGCGTGAAGGTCATAAAACACACAATAAGAACAGCCCCAGTTATGCTTAATATATGAGATTACACAAGGCCCCTTATCAGCAAATCAAGATAGCCTTCCTACCGCAATGGTCGAACACATCTCACCTACGAAAAGGCTGATTTACTTAAATTGGCAAATGTTGTTTTCTACCTTCGTTTCCTTCACCAAAAACCCTGAAAAACTTGGAATTTGAGTCGCATAAAAAAAGAAAAGCTCCGAAAAACTCTATAATTTGTGGTTAAAAACGAGACATCGAAAAGCACCCTCCGATTTCGTGCAAAAGTAAGCCCCGAAAATGCAGAACCTTAGTTATATAACATATTCCATCTAGATACCATTGATTCCGAAATTTATTCCTTACAATGTTCGGCATATTGAATTCATACTTATACTATCACTATGATACTAAAGCTGAAGTTATTGGTATCTATCTATTCTGAGTAGACAAAACTAAAACACAAAATAGGAGAACAATTACATAAAAAAAAAACAGGACAGCACAGTCTTTAACAAACAACTCAGTTCTGCTTCATCAAAATAGCTGAAATCCCTGTGCAGAGTCTTGTACTATGTAAACGTTCCTACTCAAGTGCTGTGAAACTGATCTGAACATTTTATGTTCAATCGATTACACTTTCTTCATACTGTGAAAATTGTTAGTGACGCTTAGCAGTTGCATCAGCAGCCATGGTGTTTGAGCAAGCCGCCGCCGTTTAGCTGTGTCGTACGCATGCACAGCATGGCACCGCGCATGCGCCAGCCTCTCTCAGCTCACCAACTTTCATGCCACTGTGCCAGTACTCTACCGCTTTGCGCCACCACTTCTCAACACTATCTTCTCTCCTCCTCAACGCACCAAGCAACAGACGGACGCCAGTGCAAAATTTTTGGTAGTAGGGACTCCAATGCTCTGCATTAATCATATTCGGGGTAGATTTTGCAGTGGTTTTATGTTAATATTGAAAACCAGAAACCTTGCGTGTCTTTTATATGAAGCCATAAGCCATGTCCAAGCTGGCAAAGCAAAGCACACTACCACCTAACCAAGTTATCACCTTCAGAGGCAGAAATACATAGAAAGCAAGGTTAGATGGTGCTTCTGATGCATGGTTGAATCAGATAGCTCATAACATTTGCTGCAGTCCTCTTAAAGGGCAACTCCGGTTACTTTTTGATGTTGAGAAAACGATGCAGTTCTCTTCAGTATCATCTAGAACAAGCACACGTCAAGTATCACGACGTAATACCGCTTAAAAGTTTATGAGATTGGCGAAAAAGCGCATCCAAACGCTGAGTCAAACGTCATCGAGCAGAATAATTGTTTCGTTTGTTTTGTACTAGGTGGCGCCAGTAGCAAAACAGGATCCGGACTGCGCATGCGCCTTTGTGCGCCCGCACTCTCCTCGTTGCTTCATCTGAGCTCAGCGATGGTGCAGGTCGGATTTGCGTGGAACAGACTACACTTGTAACCCGTCGTGCGGGCTGGCGCAGATGTTCGGACCACATGGCCACGTACGAACAGTAGATGACGACACGGAACCAGTATAGGCAGCCGCAATTGAAGTTTCGGTTTCACTTTCGGGTTTACGCTTAATAAGGATTGAGATAAAAATAGTGAACTTTCTGGGAAACAAATGACGTAGAACCGTGTTTTAGTGTTTCCTAAAGTATAATCATTTATTATCCCGATATTTTCAAAACCAACCGGAGTTGTCCTTTAAGGGGGCATTGAAGTCATCTTTGACAGTCTTTTTACAATGATAACTCAATCTGTCATCTTTGACACCGTCTTTTTACGATGACAACTCAATCTGTGCGTTCCAAGCTTTCTAACAAACCCAAAGTTACAATCCTGCACAGCCTATTTCCCAGGAGATCTCTCTTGTGGTCGACGAAGAGTGCTTGTCGTCTAATTGCAGGCGATGGCTTCCCCTGAAGCCATATAACGGAGTATCCTCAGAATGTGTGCTTATCATGCTCTTTTCAAAACGAGTTATTATAACTTTGTTTAAAACCTGCGTGGGTTTTAGGAACTTCCTTGGTCTAGAGAATGCAGTACACCAGAGAGATGTGTGCTTTTGTATTGCCCTGAGATGAGTAGGCGGTTTTGTATTTCAGAACTTGAAATATGTAATAAATAATATCTTTTGAAGAATAAGATATAAAAAAATGACCTTCAGATATGACTTCAGGGCCCCTTTAAGGTGCAACAAAGTAACACATGCGTTTTCTAGAAACTTGATTTAATCTTACCAGTTGCAGGCAGAACTCCTGGCTTGCTTTCAGCTTTTCCTCAATTTCATCAACATCTGCATCTGTTTTCAATGGTAGTGAAATACAGGCTTCTTCAGCTGGCTCGCAAGGTTCTTCTCTTTCCAACAGCTTTTTGGTTATTGTTTTCAGTTGCTTCTTTACAAAGCGAAGCTCTCTTAGTATAAGACGTGAGAAATCTGAAAGCACAACAAAAACAAAAAGGGCAAACATGTTAGACAACAGATAGAATGGAATGTAGTTTCGTTTCTGTTATCCAAAGGAGGGCACAGGGAGAAGCACCAGCTCGCTCACATAAAGATATAGAAGCTACTTCATGCGCTATAGCATCCACTAGCGCTGCTACTTAAATAGCAATACATCGGTTGCACTGACGTAATTTGGTCCTTTTTTTTGGGGTGGCCGAACTTCCTCGAGCATAGCCTATACTGTACCTAATCTACAAGCAGGTCGTGAGTGAGCAGAAAGGAGTCAGTGCAGCTTGCACCGCATTAACGACACGCTTCTGCCACCAGCGAGGAAGGACATGACGCCACGTACAGTCCACGCATATAAACAGTACATTCAACATTAGGTTAAATATGATCATTAATAACTGCCACTGATAAGAAACAACACATCTGTATTTTGGACGAACCACTACTGTAAATTACTACTTTGGCGGGTGCGACAGCTTGCAAATTTCACGAAGTGCCAGTTTTGGCACTACGTTGCTGGCACCGACATTCGCAATTGGGACCGGTATGATATATATTCGTATCCATGAGGTGACATCTTCGTGCAAGTAATTTTTCAATTTTTTTGTTTTTCGAATTACGAGGTTCGTCAAAAATAGGCACCTGTGAAAATTAAGTTGTTTACAGTATATTTCTCTTTGTAATTGCCACCTAAGCGGCTACCGAAGTAGACAAGATCGGAACATTTGCAATGCGACCTGCTGCTACATGCGCAGTATACACAACAAATGCAGTTGTGGTTGTGAGCACTGTTAGTACCATTGAGTTACAGCTTTGTGAGCCTGATTGTCTGAAGACGAGCATTCCTTCTCTGAGACAGACACTCTGTAGATGTATGTGTGTTAATTGTCTGAAGACGAGCATTCCTACTCTGAGACGGCTCTGTATATGCATGCGTTAACATTGTGCAGCTCCTAAACTTAGCAGTGCTTCCGTGTTATGTGCTGTGCTGGAGGGCTCTCCCAATTCGAACAAGTTCAAATGTGAACAATGCCTTAAAACAGGCATTGGCAACGCTTATTGTTTGCGGATTGGGTGATGGTGTAACACACAGGCTGCAGTCCGATGCAGAGTGAGAGGGGACCATTAAGTGCGGGTTTTACTATGGGTTTTTTGAGAAAAGGTTTCGGCATGCTGTCCTCGTTCCTTACTGGGCTGTGAAATGCTCAGCATGCAGAAAAGCTCTCCTCTGCGAAATACTGTATGCTGTGCATACTTTCATTCTCCAGAGACTCAGTTTCTGTGTTTGAGTGATAAGCGTTGAAAAGGTGTATACTTTAAAATGAAAAAGCTTACCTGGAGAGCTTGATGAGGGTGGGACCATGAAGTTGCCTGCAGCTTCGTAATCACCTCTTTCACTGGAATGTGAAGCAAAAAGAAAACACTAAAGAGTGTTATCAGGGTGTTTTGACTGCTCGCTTCGCTCGCGGTGGCGCACTGAGCCCGAGCACAACAAATGGTTCAATACACCACCGTGAGGTACCATGGGAGCAAAATTTGTACCTATATATTGTCAGTGTTTCCAAATAAAGCCACAGAGAGCACTTGCAATCTAATGGTAGCACCAAAGGAACAGTACATGTAATAAAAAAAGGATTGGAAGAGGATTTAGTGTTTCGACACCTCCTTGTAATGTGGCGACTAGTGCAATCGATATGGCCTAAAAGAGAGGCATCTGCCCCCCCCCCCTCCCCCCCCATGTGCATCAATTCCAAACATAGAGCAGGATCAATGTCCAAGATGAAAAATTTTTGCTCTTTTCTGTGTTAAAATTAAATGCTTATTCTATCGGAATAAAAATAATAAAAAGTTAGAAGTGTTAGCTTATACCATGCATAAAATATTCAAGCAACTGCATGGGCGTTGATAATCTGAGTTGCACATGCACAGAAAAAACACCCACAGAACCCTGCTTTCTGCGAAAGTTAGCGATGCGATGGTACATGACACCAATTGAGCAGTTGAAAACGCCCTGACAATTGGAAGCACCTTCCAGCATCTACAGCCAAAAATGTCACTGATCATACGTTTCAAGCTGTCATCGATAGTCTGTACTGTTCAGATTAAGCACAGAGCGTACAACTGCCTTATCCAACTGTTGTTCTCCTTTAGCCCCACGCCCCTTTGTAATGCCAGTGGCAATGAATGTATTTGAAATTAATGAAGAAATAAAAAAATACATAGGCCCTATTGAAATTTGTTTCGTGTTCAATGCCACCTAGTTACTTTGAAGATAACCAAAAATAACAAAGAAAAATAAATAGTATCATTTTGCAAATAGAAATGCTGATTTTGATTTTAATGATGAACTGAGATGTTGAAGACATCTGTTTTGCTTTCTTGGCAAGCAAAGAATGCAAACATCAATTCGTGCTTGATTGCGAGAGAAACATATTTGAAAACGGTCCCCCACATCGCTGCAACTCGAACTGGTTACCAGCAAGAATTTCGCGAAGCAAGCAAAGGTCCTTGTCAACCTGAAATCGTTTCCGAGGCCTACACTGCGACGCCTCTGCAGAAGATGTGGTTGGAAGTGACTGGCGGCAGACATCTTGGATTGAATGACAAACGTAAGCGGTGCCACCCTCCCTCTGCTTAGTAAACATGGCAGCAGAACGGAGCCTGCGCTCCGATTGCCCGTTGCCGGCTAGGCGTTGTGGGCATGCGCAGTTGCCTCCTGGCTCGGGTGGAGTCGGCCATAACAACAAAATCGCTACAAAAGATGTTTACTAAGTCTTTACTAGACATTCCCTAAGTCTCAGAACCTTGTTATCCTCGTTGACGGCTTTTCTTCGCAATGCAGTCAAAGCTACGAGCGACCGTGACCTTACACAACCAAGGCACTGATCGAAGCTACATACGTGCTCTCTTCACTTCCGGTATGCAAAGAAAAGTTGTCCCCAAGTATAGTACCTTCCTCACGGGCATTTGGTCTGGTCGAGGTGAACACTAAAGTGAACAAGTTAATCAAATCCGCAAGTCCTGCATGCACTATCAGTAAGAGGTTCTTTTTAAAATCAGGGGTCTGGAAAATTGTCTCGCTGAACCAACGCTCAATTTCATAAAATATGGACATGTCATACCTGTCCTTAGCTTGTGTGAGTTAAGTGTGCATTTGATTCCATTCATAGAATGCTTTCTATGTACAAAATTAACAGACATTGCTCGTTACTTCGCTTCTCCATTACAAAATATACAACATTCTCTTACCTTTGATGCCAGAAAGGTGGTGATGAGGCTCCTCCGATTCCTTCCTCATGGTCAGACTCATCCAATGAGTGTACAGCGTAATTGCTACTGTTACGACTTTTCTCTAAAAAAATATTGGATCCCTTAATTACCCCAACAATTAATTAACCTCAAGTTAATTATTGCGCCCTCAGGAGCCAAGAGCAGTAGAGTGTGGGAATGCATAAAAAAGCCACTACAAAATAAGTAACAAATACGCTATCAATTTGACCATTTTGGTCAAATATATTATAGAGACAGTGAGAAACTGTGCTGAGAACTAAAGTTAATCTAACTTGTAGTCCAAGGGCAAAAAAAGCTAAACCGAAACCGTCCATCATAAATACCATCTTCAAAATCAGTGTCCTGATATCAAGTGCTGTATACACAACACAACAAAGCAAACATACATGTTTTATGTTTTCTTTTCTACATATTTCAATTATTCTGTGGAAATCATCCATTGAACCAACATATAATCTACTAGAGTAGGTTGCTGAAGGAGCCTCGTCCTGTTTTCCAGATGCTACAAATCTTTGAGACGCTGCAATTACATAAAAACAATAATACGTAGTTAACTGGATAAATATTTTAGTCTTCAAGCAGAGCAGATATTTGATCCTACATTTTTCCTTTAAATGTAGTACCATTCTTTACTGCCGTCTCTTGGTGCAAATGCGAGTTGTCATGCCGCACCTCACTAATTAAGTGGTGAAAGCAAAGCTATGTGGAGTGACCCTCGATTAATACTGTAAATGGCTTAATTTTTGTGAGGATCCCATTTTTGCAAATGTTGCCACGATCAAAATCACGAAAATTCGGTGATGCAAATAGTCACCCCATGGATACCATTACATTGCATATCACTCCTAATCGCAAAATTTTGTGCCTGCGAGCGAAATATTCCTGAAACCACCACTTCCCAAAAAAATCAACCCCGTGAAAATAAAGGTCTTTGCAGTATTCCATGCAAAATGTCAATGTTGCCAAGAAGAAAAAAGAGCTGCCTCCAGCAAAAGATTTCTAGTCTCGACAGCACATGCCTCTCAAGCGCAGCAAAAGCGTGGTGGAACACAACGAGCATGTGAGGGAGGTGGAGCTACCACTGCACTCCTTACATATCAAATACTGTAGTAAAACAGGAGGCTACTTGCCTTACACTTGCACGGCTCAACGACACTGTTGTGGTTGCTCTTGATAAAAATAAAGCAGCCTACGTCGCTAAGTCTAATTTCATCACGTCCACTAATAATGCTCTGTTTACAATATGGAAGTTTATTGATTAAATAAGCATTACTTACATGAGCCTGTTATCAGCCTGTGCCCAATTGACTAATCAATAATTGCACACCATATGCTAAAACCGAAAAGCATACCTGGAGGGCTTGATGAGGGCGGGCACACAGAGCTGCTTGCAGTTGGATGATCACTACTCTCCTTTGACGCAGCGCCACTGAAATGTGAAGCAATGAACACTAAACATTAACCAAATCTACTAGAAACTCCCAATGTCTCAGGACCTCTTTACTCCCTTGATCACGGGTAGTATTTGGTTTGGGCAAGGTCAGCACAGAACTGAAAAAGTTAATCAAATCCAAGCCTTACACTGCCAACAACAGGTTCCTTATAGATTCAGGGACCTGGAAAATTCTCCCAATGAAGAACAGCTATTTCTCATGAAATATGGGCACGTCATAAACAGCTTCAACTTGTGGGACTGAACTCTACCTTCGATTATGTTCTATTATACATTTTCTATATTTGCAGTGCGAAGCTTGCCAGGGGCGCTGTTGTTTTCCTCACTATGGTTAATGTATGTGCCACAAATGCAGTTTATGTGTTCATTGTCATAGTGCATAGAGGCCAGACATTGCACGTGCTTGCACAAATAAAAGTTCCTCATTATTCGTGGTGATTCCTAAACGTCTCTCCTTGAATACAAAATAGGTAATGTTCTCTGACCTTTCATGTCCAAAAGGTGGTGGTGGTGGTGGTGCTCCCTGGAGTCCTTTTTCAACATCTGACTCATCCGATGAGAATGCTGCGCTTACCACGACCCTTCTCTGAAAATTTGTTCAATATCACTGCAATTACTCAACTCTGCTTTCCCAACCAGAAAGCCCTTTAGAGTTGGGACTTGTTATTTCGCGAGATTTTTTTTTTATTGTTACTTGTCTTTGGTTACGATGCAAGCTCACCAGCTCGCCTGTGCTTTTACCCTTGTTTCATATCCATGATGCTTCCCGCCCTAAAGTAGCTTGTTCTGTTACCTTACAGGTTTCCGAACACATGCTTAAAATATGTAATGCACTGAAATCAGTTTCTTAACAACAGGTTGCTGAACCAGCTGTAGTATAATCTCAGGAATGATAAGTATCTAAACAGTTAACCTAAAGGCCCGTTCACACTCTTGCGACCTCTTAAACCTGGGTTCCTTAAAACTTCTTGAACCAAAGAACACACTGGCGCCATCTATTGGGAAGCAGTGTAAACTCGGCGGTCCGGCATATTTTTTTATTTCTCGCACATTATCCTTTCTTTATTTGCTTGAAAAACTTTTGACAATGTTATAAACGAGCCTTTCTATGGGTATTACGCACATTTGACGCCAAAAATCCCGCAAAACCTTCGCTCTTGTGAAATGCAGTTCCAGGGTCACCGCATAGATGGCGCCACAATGCCAGTGAGTTCCCTCATTCTAAAAACATTTAAGAAGTTTTAAGAGATCTCGTCTCTCTCAGTCGTACTCGGTCGCAAGAGTGTGAACGGGCCTTAAGATCATACCCTTAAACCCGCTGTACTGACCGGGAAATTGGGCATAAGACGATTAGTGTAATTAATGGGGAGAAAATGCGTTATCATGCAAACTTCGTTTGAGACACTTAGCAGCTGCATCAGCAGCCAAACGAGCCTTTTATGCCTCCGGTGTCTGAGCTTGCCGCCACCATCTAGTCGTCTCATACACATGCGCACCGCCGCTCTCCCAGGTGACCTACTTTCACGCTGCTCCACCTGTACTCTCCCTCTCTACACCACTGCCTCCTTGCCACTACCTACCCTCCTCCTCACCATCACTCCAAACGACAGACATACGCCGGCGCAAAATTTCGGTAGCGGGGACTTAATGCCCACATATTAAAAAAAAAAAAAAAAAAAAAAAAAACATTTTGAAAATTTTTTGCAGTTGGAGTTTATCCGAAAAACTCCAATGTCTCATTAAAATACCAGGCAGGTGGCCCTGAGAAGTGGCCACCCTTGTCTCTTTTGTAGCATTCAAAAATTAACAAACCACTGGTCTATGACTGCCGAGAACAAGAGGCAAAGTATGTTGCAGTATTTCTCAAACCATGACAGAATCCAACCTAACTCAGACACAACAGAATCCAACCTAAGCCACTCACAACATAATCCAATCTATGCAACTGGATGGCAACTATTCTCATTCTGACTTTAGGCTAGTGCATTTGCATCTTACCAAAAAGGAGTCAGTGCTTTATATGGCAGTGGAAGCCATAACCTTCAGATTTCACATTAATATTTATCATAACCGAAAACACTTTCTGTGTCTTTGGTGTGTCCGTGGGTATTATTTATTTTAATTTTAAGTTCAGATAACTGGCAATATTGCATAAATTAAACTCCAATAAATTTGAAACGTTATATCACTGAAACTTTACTGGCAGCAAACTGTGATAAGTGCCAAATTTGCAGTAAAAAATAAGCTCAGAAAACATGGAGTCCTAGGCAAAACATATCAATGTATAATGTTGCCAAAGTTCTAACAGTTCACATAAAGATTGAGCACCTTGGTCAGTTGATGTTGCAACATTATCAGTATCCTCCGCTTTCCTTAGTTTCGATCTTGCTTTCTGGAAAGTATCTAAAAAGATAAGCAGACAATGAAATAGCATATTTCACAACCGAAGACTGTCAAAATCCAAAGTAGAGATGGCATATTTATATAGGGTTGCTCAAAGATCAAATGAAGCATTCATCTAAGAAAAAGATTTGCTTACTAGAATGAAGCATTTGCCTAAGAAAAAGATTAGCTTGTTTAATTCCCTCCTACAAGAAAGGTGTAGGCAGTTAAAAGTGTTCCATAGCACATTGATTACCTCATATTAGGAAAAATCAGGTACATGTGGGCTCGACTCTACTTCGAGACGGCAAGACCGCTAAAAAAAAGTGAGAGCAGCACAGACGCCTAGAACTATCGAAATTATATGAGCTCCCAAGAGGTCTTATTTTATGTAATGGGCTTCAGTTTATGTTAGGAGTACCCACTGATATCTTTGTGGTTGTGGACTGAGAATAGTAGTCACTAGAAATGTAACATCAGATTTATGACCACGGTAGTTAGCCAAATTCCCCTACATTTTCTGACTTCGGTAGACACTCGGCTAAAAAAAGCATAAAAAAGACAGAAAACATGTTGGCTTCCCTACCTTCCTTGCTCAGGATGACAATGCTGTGCCTTGTGTATGTCAAATCTGGGGACTCTCTGAGTTTCACGGCTTTGATAGCTCTTGATGCCCTAAACTTCGACGGCCAGAGGCACTCATTTCCATTGAGCCAATTCGACGGGACCACGTCAACACTGCTATCACTTAAAAAACGAACAACTGCAAACATATTGTCTGAAATGATGGAACAACAAGGTCATACAGTCGCAAAATGAAAAAGGAAACCAAATGTTAAAGGGCAACTCCGCTTACTTTTCATGGTCTCTGATTTGCCTCAAAATTGGTTAAATACACCAATAAACAGAGAAGAACCAGACACCAAAATATTTTCACAAAATAAAATTTTTTCACTAGGTTATTGAATTTTCAAATCTGGTGTTCACCGCGAATGTATGTGACATCACTTTTTCCCTGTTTGGGCTATTGTGGGCCGTAGAACTTGTTTCTGACTGGTTACGAAAAGTTTGATGGTACGAACCGAATGCTGTGAAAGTTAACATGGGCCCTCACTCAGCAGAGCGGAAAAAAAGTGTGATATCTGGTTTTTAAACTTTCTGAACGATCTGCAAGCGTGCACGCACATGACGTCGTGCCCTGAAAAGGGCGGTAAAATCTGAATGTTGGTTTTGGCGTCGCCGTTTTCTCAATAACTAATCTGAATTTAGAGATGGAATCTAGTCTGTCGGGAAGAGCAACGTTGGGGCATTCAGGAAATGTAGTTCGTTTGGGTAGCTCAAAAAGTAAGCGAAGTTGCCCTTTAAAGCATCGGGTAAAATTTAATTTAGACAAACTAGACAGAATGAAGCAACGGGAATACCAAGTACTCATTGCACAACCCTACGTTTGCTAACAACACACACTTGGCCTGCACACTAGACAATGGCCACACTTTACAAGAGGACAAGGTGGACACAGTAAAAATGCCCAAATCACTGGACTTGCAAGGGGAGGTGAAAAAGTCGCGGGATGTCATGAATTGTCTCCCGAGAAGTACCTTCGATCCTACTTTATCGAAACAAAAGTCAGAAACAAGGACGATACTCGAGTCAGAAAGAATACAGCAGTTATCCCCAACGGTTGATTTGAGCACAAATTGGGGGAAGACAGCGTCGTGAAACTGCGGCCCTTCACACGAGGTTGGCAGCTGCCCTCCCATATGCATTTGCTTGTAAGCCACTTGAGGTTGGGCATCTTTCTGGAAAGCATAGAGCTTCCTGCTAGTCTTAAGCTCACTTATTCTGTTGTGCAACTGTTCAAGGGGCCGTGTAGAGCTTCGAACGAGGCGTTTAAGCTGGAACATGAAGCTCTCAGCTGGGAACGCACTGAAATTATCGAGTGCCCCATAGTTCATAACATCATCAGCCAAATGCACTAGTCCGTGAACATTATACGACACCTTTCCACGGCCGTACAATGATTTGAAGGAGTGTACAAAGAAACAAAGAAGGTCCTTGGCATAATTGTTGTATGTGCTGCACATGCTCGGGTTTGCAAGAATCCTGATTGCAACATCGATCACAAGAAAATGCTCATATCTCTCTTGGTCTAGGACACCTTTTACCACTACTGGACCCAAGTACAGCAGGAAGCAACGAAGTTGAGTTGCTTTCCAGAAGCCTAGGTCCTTCAAAGGCCGAGGCAAACATGCAAACTCTGTGCAACAGAACTGTTTAAGGTCAAGCAGCCGCTGCGACACTTCATTCACTCTCACTGAGGGCAGGCGGTAGGACTTGCTTCCTTTCATCCAGAGAAGCAGCAACTTTTTGGCAACGCCAATGCACACTAAATGCATGTAGTCTAAAGGAAACTTTGACACAAGTCCTAGAGGCAGTGACTTCAGTGGAGTGTCCTTGACGTGGTGCTCTTCCTGAGCTTTTTGTGCGAAAGCTTCATCCGTTCGTAAAGGTGCATCAGTTTCTAAAAAAACTACTGTGCCATCTACAAACACGCCCTCCTGGGTGCATTTGCCACAGCCAAAGTAGCCCGAGTGCGACTTGATACCCAACAAGAACGCTTTTGCTGGAGCATCACATACAAATCCCCTAATGTACACCGTGAAGAGCTGCCCAGAAAAAGAAAACCCATTTGTAAGAAGATTATCAAGGTCATCAATAAATACCGAAAGGTACTCATCGACCGAGGTTGGCTTCGAGTGGCCATGGTAGCAACCAACCAGGAACACTCCACTACCAGTTATGTCCGGTGTTTTCCCAAGTATTGGCCAAAACTGACTGTGCGTGCTCTTAGTTAGTGGAAGGCCGTCAACATAGAACATGATGCCGAGCCGAGCTGGTACAGACGACATGTCAGCCACGTGTGAAAGTAGAGCCCTCAAGCTATCTGCAATGCCAAAATGGCAGTAGGATCCTGGAGGCACGCTCGTGATATTAGCTCTGCGAGGCGTGGCCAACAAAGTTCTAGCGTCGCCTGGTATGCCCGAGTAGCACGGGTGCTCCTTCAGCTCTTTCGCCAGCGAGGAAAGGGCCCTCTGAGTAATCTTATGCTCTCCGGCCCATTGCGCCAAGAAACGTCTCAGGCGACGCTCTGGATCATCGGTATCTGCCGCCTGCTTATCGGAGACGCTCTCGGGAAGAGAGAGTTGTTCGGGTAGAGCCTCGACCTCCTCACAACTTGAATCTGTCTCACTTTCGGTTATGTCTGTAGACTCACCAGTGGACGACTCTAGTTGACTCTCGGAATCAGAACTGGAGGATCCATTTCCGAACTCTAGACTGTTGTCATCGAGGGTATCGCGGGCGCTAACTTAGGAGTCGTATTCACTTCCGGAAGCATGCTCTGAATTAGCATTAGCAGTGCTAGTCTCGAAACTGCTCAAGGCGGTAGCACGGGACAGCTCTTCGTTAAGGCGGCGCCTCTTCTGCCACCGCGACAGATGTTCAAACGGTTTCCTTTTCTTTGGATGCGGCATATTTTGATTACCTGATCTGTAGTGGCGGCTGATGGTGCGTTCGACTCAGTGTGGGCATGCGGGTTGCTTGCCTGAATGCGCGGGTAGCGAAGCAGCTAGAGGCTGGAGGAGCTGATGCCACGGAGTTCGTCCAAGTTCGTCTCGAGGAGCGCGCCAAACCAAAAGCAAAGTGACCCAAGAAAAAGGAAACGAATCCAAGAAATACGAAATCGCATGTCTTTTTATTAACAACTAAAATGTTCATATTAAAAATAAAAATATATGGAACACTTTTGAACACATACGGATCTTGCTCGTTTATTTGGGCCCTATTTATTAGTGTCGTGACGTCACAATAAAATGCGGTCCGGTCCACTGATGCGGTCCTAGCGTCTATTTCATAGAGATGTGACTGGTGTGTTCCCCGTGTCTTCTTTTGGGTCCCTCGGTTTCCGGCTCATTACGCACCACCGAGTCATTGACGTGCTCGTCGCGGCAGTGGCGGTGGTCCGGTACACACTCACCTCGCCACTCACCTCACCGACCTCACGACCTCACTATATATGGTGCTTCGAGCTCGGTCGGTTCCGTCCGTGCACCGTGGCGTGTGCTACTTTTGTTGAGTGTTTCGGTAGATTGTGTGTTGTCATTGTGCTTGTTTTAGCACCGTGTACTTGGCTGATGAGTGAGCGTCCTTGGTGAGCGTGCGATAATCGTGGATTGTCGACCGCTTCAGGTAACGTAACGTCTACGGGCGCGCGCGCCCGACTGCGTTGCGAAACGTCGGCGAAGCTTTCGCCGAGATAGTTGCACAGAAGCCGTCCCGCCAGCTCCCGTATTTGCCGTGGTCCCGTGGTCCCGTCGTTACCCCAGTCGGATCGCTCGGGATGTGTTGTGTGTTCGTCTGCCTGCCGTTGGGGCGTGTGTCATGTAGTGTATCCGCTGGTCAGTTGGTTGAATGTGGTTGTGTTGGTGTACATTTTGCCAATGTCGTTCTGTTTATTCTGTTCGCTCGATTGAGTGAGTCGGCTCGTCGACGTGGACCTGTCTCGGATCCGAGAAAGTGCGTAGGCCTTACGATACGGCCGCGCTTGGTCTAGTTCGACGGGACGGACGTCGGCTTCCCGTTTTATCCGTGAGTTCAGACGCAAAAGTCTAGTGATTAGTTTTGTGCACAGGACATATTAGCAGCGGGTCGCTGCGGCCTGCGGCACCATCTGCTTCTTTTTCGTTGATGTTACTTTCGTCACGAAATAAATGTTTTTCTACGCAAGTAATCGCTCTTTGCTCGATTTTGAACGTGCCACAGCGCTGAGATACAGACTGCCGCGAATAGACGCGGACAGACAATTCCTTTCGCAACGTAGCGCGGCCTGGCGAAGTGGACGACGAACACCGTCCGTTTCACGTCGTCGGACGTTACGTTTGTACTTACCTGTACTGTTTTCTGCGCGCGATTATGCTGTAAACGTGAGTGACGTCGCACAGAGGCTCATGAGGGGTGGAGAAATTTGTAATAATTAACGCGAAGTAATAAAAGCAATCGTTGATAAGGAAAACAAAACATACCCATGAAAAACAAATTTATACAAAATATAGAAACTTTTTCGGATATCCCGACGTTGAGATCAAAATGTTTTCGAGATTACAAAAGACGTCTTGTAGATGTCTTCTGGACGTCTATAAAAATATGTCTTCCAGACAGCTTGACAAGGTGTCTTGTAGACGTCTAGGTAAAGACGTCTTATAGACGTCTAGAAAAGTTATCTTGTAGACATCTTGCGTAGCCCAAGACGTCTTGAGCTCATTTTAGACCTTTCAAGACGTCTACAAGACGTTCTGTGTTCACTGGGATGCTTTCCGGATTTCGACACTCTGTTGATAGAAACTGTAGTTTTCCGTCATTTCTGGAATAGTTCTTTTAAAGTACCTTATGCCCCAGCCCGTTGCCTAAGGCCAAAAAAAACGTTACTGTATACCTCGGTGCAGCACAAGATATGGCGAACGCATGCGGCGTTACTATGTTCCCTCGTATTTTAACAAGCTTCCTATGAGTATTTTTTGTGCTAGTACAAAATACAAACTGAAAAAAACGCTCAGAAATAGAATTGTATAAAGATTTCTTTTCTGTCTGTGTCATAACTTGATTTATCTATGTGGGGTTTTTGTGTTTTACTGTCATTGCTTTATTTTGTCACTGTCTGCCAGGCACTACCTTTCAAGCCCGATGAGGCTTCGGTAGGCCGGAATCTGTACATGCTATTTTTTCATTCAATAAAAGTATTATTATTATTATTATTATTATTATACTACTGACACTAAAAACAAAGCGTCAAAATAGACTAAATACGCGCGAAGATAATGTTGCGGTTGCCATTTTCGCAGGGCACCGCGTCCCAGTGTCCTGCGAAAATGGCGATAGCGGGAGTGTATGCATGCGCAGAAGCTCACTGGAAAAAGGTCCTTATTTCCGCTTGAAACATAGTTCCG